ACCTTTAACTAATAAAACCTACGATTGACGTGGATTTAAAAGGTATTGCTTCGCACAATTGGCCTTTGTTTGCTTTCAGTTTTGCAGTACCATGGTCATAATAAATGGTTTTTCGTTTTCCCTCGCCAGCTTTCCCATCTTACTTTAAACTGGGCCAACCGAGTGATGCAGAAATTTCGTTCTTTGTATTTCTGCGCGATTTAATTGCTGTTAATTGGCCAGCTAAACAGTTGATGTTACTTTGTTTTATTGCCAGCGTGATGGGAGCAAAAAAGGAGAGCCGCGGGTGTTCGGGCAAGGGAAAACTTTTAATTTTATTTACGCCGAAAGACCAAAAAGTACGTGCCGTGAATGCGTAATTAATGCTCAAAAATGTTTTATGCCAAAAATAACTCCGGCAACAAAGTCTTCTATAAAGAGCAGTGGAGGATGTCAGCCAAGGCCAAAAGGAAGCCCGCCAAAATCCCCTGCAACTCCAACCCATGACCATAAACGTAGGCACCATAACTGAGCTCCCGACCCTTATACTGTTACTTGAACCCGTTTGCCACCCGATTCCCATGCTTTTTCGCCATCTCATCCTCAACAGTGAAAGAAACTAATAAAGCACATCAGGCCTTCGACTTTTAAGAACTCACAAAGGCAGAAATAGGTGAGAAAATATTGAGAATATTCAACTAGATTTTCATTTTAAAATAATTTCCTAGTAAAATACAGAATATAGTAATATAATAAAAACTATTTTCTTACTAAACGAATAAAATCAAAAAATCATCATTTCTTTTGATTATCATTTACTAATTTAAATAACATAAATAAACGTTCAAGTAACGATTTTCCCCCAGTGTTTAGATGTGCTAAAAAACATTTCCGTCCGCATTTCTGGAGAGATTTCCCTCCGGCAAGCGCGCCCTTTGACTTTTCACGTTGATCGACGCCCAGACAGCCTTCAATGGAAACTGATGACGCCACACCTCGCCTGCCCCCGTTTTCCCTTGGGGCGGTGCAAGTTTGGGAGGTGGGTTCATTTTCGTGTGCCGCTGAATATAATTTCTTGAACAATAAAAACTGTTTCGTCTTCGATAAACAGAGGCGGGCTGGAGGAGAATGGCCGTGCATGCCGGTGATCTATAAAAATAGACAGTCAAACAAACAAATCGATGTTTCGACGGCGGGACGCTGCGTCTTTCGGCACATATAAAAATACGGCATGATCTTATAGCTGACCTTACACATTTGCAGCACCTGGTCAACCTGGCAAACAGATTGCGCTGGCCAACAGGTATGACAGTTTTTAACTCTTAGAGATTAATTTATTTCAGCTAAGAAAGAATTAATACAAAAATTCAGTTTTTTAAAACATTATCTCTTTTTAGTTTTTTATTTTTGGTTTAAAGAAGAGGTAAGCCCCTTGAGTCCTAATATTTACGATATTACATTTTGGGAAGAAACATAAAAACAAACATAAAAGAAAACAGTCGATAACGATTATACTTTTAAGACACAAAAAGCTAAGGTTTTAGTATGTATAGATCGTATTTTTTCAGAATGTTTAAATGTTTTTTATAATTATATTTTTTTTTATTAAATAAATTACGGGGATAAACATTGAAAACAAGTTTAAAAAATGATTTATTTCGAATAAAATATGTTTTATTGTTGTGAGTCAATTTATATAGTTTTTAAGAGAACAATGTTTATTGTCAATTAATGAAAATAAATTCATACTTTGAAATACACAAATAAGAATTAGTTATAAAAGTGTTCCCAATTTTATTGAATTTATTTATCTAGTATTTTTTTCCAAAGGTTCTATTTTCCAAAATGTTTTATTTTGGATCATTTCTATTGGGAAATCAGAATTCGTCCGCTCAAGATACACGGAAATCCTAGCGGAAAGCAAAACAAGAGTCTCACGGGGAAGGGAAATCGATTTGATTGAATTGCCACAATTAGAAAGATTTCCAGATTTGCTCGCCTTGTTTGAGTTTGTTTTGGTTGCGGTTTTAGCCGCTTCCCGAACTCGTGGATGTTTACACGGATGCCTCTGCTCCTTTCCCCTGCGGTTAAATATTTGATGAACTGAGGTGGAAAATTTGAACCAACATACTGGTCAGAGTGCATGAAAGAGGGGGAAATCAAGGGGCGGGGTGAGGGACTCCCTAAAACGGTATGGCGCTCAGTTCCTTTTTTCTGCCTGCTTCCTGGAGATATTTAAGCCGAGCCACGCCCCTCCATTCAGCGTGACAGATGAGAAACAGCAGCACTTCCTAGAGCAGTGGCCAAATCGATTCGGATTCTTTTTGGCCTGCAGCAATGCCCGCACTTACAACACACGACCTAAAATAGCAAACGCTTTTTGGCTGCCCCAAATTACGAACGCACATGAATAGGGAATATAAATCTGTGTGGTATCTCGTAACCTAGTGAATACATTGAGAAAAATATTTGACATACAAGGAGTAAAAATCGTTAAAGAAAAGTTTTTTTTATTATTATTTTTTCTCAGAAATTTTTTATTAAAATTCATAACTGAAAAGCTACATAGTTTTATATAGAATCCTTCCTCGTTGTTTTTGAAAAAAAATTTAATTTGATAAATCATTAACTAAAAATAAAAATATTTAAAATAACATAGACATTGAGAGATGAAACTAAGATAATTAGAACAAAAACATACTTTTTAATAAAGAAATAACAATATACGCCAATTGCAATTAAAATTACATTACTTATTAATTATTAAAATAAAACACATACTTTTTCATAAATAAATAAAAATATACTCCTATTCCAATTAAAAAGTAAGAAAACCCATAATTTACTATGTAAATACTCTGCGGTAATCTAAATCTGCAAATATAAAGTAAATCAAAGGAATAAGAGTCATGTGTTGCGTTTATCGAATTTGTGTGTTTCTCAGTGCCGACTACAGCATATAGCACTCACCACCCGGTCGGCCTCTGACGTCAGAGCCCCTTTCGACCGCAGCGAAAATGGCCATTGAAATGTTGACGTCGATGGCGTTGCGAGTTACGGATTTGTCTCTGCCCTGTTATTGTTTAACTCACAGATACTCCGGCAGTGTGTGCGGGTATCTGTGCGTTTATTGACATTCAACGGCGAGTGTGTGTATTTGTTTTGGTCAGAGGCAGAGATAGATGAAAAATTGATTGTGCTTTACCTCAACAATTTGGCAAGCTGAAAAAATACGTCCAGTACTTGGCACCGTCATCCATGTGTGCCAATTAAGGGTTCTCGGCTATTGCACAATGCACCCACCAAATATCATCGTCATCATCGGAAAAGTGAGCTGGAAATATTCGGGGGTTGCCACTGGCGACAGTTGGCCAATATTGAGATGGAATGGCTGACACATGTAACAAATTCCGAGCACTCGAAACTCGAATAAATCAAAGACATGACAAAATATTGAAGGCTCTTTGTCGCTTAATTGGAGTGCCACGCGTTGGCAATGACAAAGGCAAGTCAACTCGGAAAAAATCCAAAGGCGGCGGCAACTTTGACTGGCACATTTGACATGTTAAATGCGAACGCCACAGCATGTATGAAGATACATGTGGACATATCGTTTGGAGAACCGATATCTGTTATGGGATCAAGAAAAAACTATTCGAAAATAAAGCATGAAATATTGACTTTTCTTGTATTTCGATTAGGATTCTTTATAGGTAAGATTTTTAAAGAACAAAGTGGAAATTCATTCAGAAGACTTTGAACTTATTTACAATGTTCAATGTCTTTACAATGTATTATAACCCAGATCCCGAAACGGACTTTGGATTAGCAGCGTCCTTGTGGCCCACCCATCTGCGAGGACGCTCCTGCCCCGAACACACACACTCACTCACTCACACACAGACACACTCTTGTCGGGGCTGTCAGACGCCGTTATCACATATTGCCGTCACTTTGTGTTCGCCAACGCCGCTGTATTTGTGCCCGTAATGCGCAAACACTCGTATGCCAAAGGTCCTGGTCCGAGTCCTTATTCGCATGGTCGCATTTCCGCGTCTGGGACATATGCAAATGGTAAATGGTAAATGGTAAATGTTAAATGGCAAATGGTGAATGGCAAATGCCAAGTCGGTCAAATCGTTTTCGCACATGAGCCTTATTTGCATCTCATTAACATCCGGAGTTCTCGGGCTCCAACAATGGCCGCCGTGTCATTTCCGCTGCTATTTATATTTCTATTCCCGCTTTTCAATATGCCAAGGGTCGGATAATTATTGCACTATAAATGGAATATTGGTGGGCCACGCCTAATGAGCATGTCCTTCCCTGATTGACATGTGATGGCTGTGTGTGCGGGGGTAGTTAATGTCACATATTTTGATAAATTGTTTTACGACCATAATTTGTGCAACTTTTATCGTCTTTTTGTAATGGCTTTCCTATTAGTGTTTTATGTGCCGTAAAAGTAGCCCCACAAAACACGCATTCATCATTATGCTGATAGTTGATAGAAGTGGCAACAAAATGAAAATTAAATTATTTACACGGCTCTCGACGGGCGCCTTTTGCATTTTATGACAGCGCAAACAGCCCGCACTCTTACTTATTCAACATTCTGTTGAACACGCGCTCAAATAATTTATGTTTTGCTTAACCTTTGGGGCCGCCGGCAAACAGGGGCAAACAAGGGTTAACAGCCATGTCCCAGGCAGATACAGATACTTATTTAGACTAAGATACGCTGAAAAAACAACTATTTAAAAAATCTAAGGCGCTTCGTTCTTTAAGAGTTTATCTTTAAATAATAATGAAGATCCTGATGTATTTTTCTTCAAATAATCCATAAAAAGGTGACCAACACATCCATTAGAATGCCCCACTCTACTTTTTATTTCCCAAGCGCGTGCCATGAAGTACAACTCAAAGGTGATGTAGTTTGGCTCCCCGAGGATGGGTACTGTTTGCATTTTGATGAGCCCGAAAGAAGCGGATTATTTGACTATTTATACGTGTTTACATACCTTTTGCTGCTTCTTCCGTGGCGCTTCAAGAGAAAGGGATGGCGACAGGGGACGAGCCGGAAAGAGACGGGAGATGGGGAGCTCCTCCGTAGTTTTAGTACATGCTGCAAAGAAATTAGAACACAAAAAGTCAGCGGAAGTTGTGAGGAAATCTGCTAGGCAAACATCAGATAAGGCTGCCCAAACACTCCATGTTTGTGCCGTATATATTGCTCTTCGTACTCAATCGTATTTGCGTCAAAATTAAACTAAGTCGGTGCTTAACGTCGAGTTGTCAAAAGTGTTAATTGCGATGCCCAGACGAATTAAATAATTAATTTGACGAGTTTACTTTTAATCAAGGCAAGTTGGCTGCTCTAACAAATAGAGCTGAAACTTGTGTTTATTCTGATCTTTCTTGTCCAAGTCCTAAACCGTTGATTGCGTCTTTGAAGTTTTACTCTGAGTTTCAGAATTTGCGCTGCAATAAATTTATCTTAATATCCAAGCGATGTGGAAGTTTCGGTCGTCTGAGCGCATTTTTCATTCTAATGGAGTCTTCTGCACAATGCCAGTGAAACTTTTCTCCTTTGCACTACCGCAAACAATGCCAAATTATGTATGTAGGTAACACAAGGCAGGATGGGTACAGATACAGACGAGCTACAAAAATAGTGACATTGTTGCCATTTCTTTACACCAACCAGGAAGGAAATATAAGTTTAAAAAAAGTTAGTAGCCGTTGCTTAAAATGCGAAAATAGTATGATATATTATTTTTAATTTTTCTTTCTTTTATTAAATTATATTCTACATTAAACTACTCAAATTTTTTAGTTTAGAAAACCGTGTTTATCAAATTGGCAAGTGCATTTTTAATACGTTTTTTAAGGTTTTTTTTTCGGAAATCCAACTTATTTAAAAAAAAAACAAGAAAGACAAACGAAGTTGAAATAAATATCAAATTATAAAATCATTCATATAACCTTTATAAAAACAACTTCAATTAAAAAACAAATTGGCATTTAACAGTTATATGGCAGTATAAATAGGCATAAAATATATTCGATTATTAGCAAAATAAAATTTTTAACAAAAAACAAATATCATTTATAATTAAACTATAAATAATATATAAATTTTATTTATTAAATAAAAAAAACAAAACTAAAAACCAAAGTTAAACAACAGTATATAAAGATATAGATCAGAAGTCGGATTGATGGCCAAATAAAACTTAACAACAAACAGATATGGCAAAAATACCCCCCCCCAATTTTTTTCCGCGCCAAAGGAAAAGAGGGTGTGTCAAAGTTATATCTTTAAAACTGAAACTAGTTCGCGTAGAAACAGACAAGACGGACAGACAGGGACATTCAACCTCTGAAAAATATATACTTATATGGTCGGATGTCCAATCTCTGAAGGGATAATAAAAAGAACATTTCCACTATAAGAAAAACAACAAAAAAGACAAGAAAGGAAAGCTAACTTCGGGCGGAGCCGAAGTTGATATACCCTTGCAGAATACTCTGTAAATTATATCCTCCAAAATTATTCATATGATGCATTCTTAATACTCATAAAAAATCCCAACTTCCTAACTTTAAAAACACCAAAGTTATGGCATTTCCAATCGTTCAGTTATATGGCAGCTATAGGATATAGTCGGCCTTATGAAATTTGGTAGGTCGGATTGATTGGCCAAAAATAAAACCCATAGAAAATCCCAACTTCCTAACTTAACAAATACCAAAGTTATGGCATTTCCGATTAATCAGTTATATGGCGGCTATAGGATATAGTCGGCCGATCCTTATGAAATTTGGTAGGTCAGATTGATTGGCCAAATATAAGACCCATAGAAAATCCCAACTTCCTAACTTAACAAACACGAAAGTTATGGCATTTCCGATCAATCAGTTATATGGCAGCTATAGGATATAGTCGGCCGATCCCGCCCGTTCCGACTTATATACTGCGTGCAAAGGAAAGAAGGGTGTGTGCAAAGTTTCAATTCGATATCTTTAAAACTGAGAGACTAGTTCGCGTAGAAACAGACAGACGGACAGACAGACGGACAGACAGACGGACAGACAGACGGACAGACGGACATGGCTATATCAACTCAGGAGGTGATCCTGATCAAGAATATATATACTTTATAGGGTCGGAGATGTCTCCTTCACTGCGTTGCACACTTTTGACCAAAATTATAATACCCTCTGCAAGGGTATAATAACAATTTCTCGCACTACTGGGTCTATTAGTCTGGCCGCAACTGTAACTACATACATTCTCATCTTATTCAGTCCTGTGTCCCATGACAGAACACATGTTAAACATTGTGAATAGTGCGAAAACTTTGACATCAAAGTTTGTTGTTTAAATAAATTTTGTGTTGCTCAATGTGTGAAATTGAAATTATTTCGGCTCAAGACCCCCAAAAAGCTTGGCCAAATGGAGAATGGCATTTTAATCAAGTTTGGGGAAGTTCATTAGCACAGAGCAGCACACAGGGCGTATGCGTAATGTGGTTGTTTGGTTCAGCTCAATAGTGAAGCCAAACTTCGATTAGCCACACTTGACGGGGCGATAAGTCGCTACCATTAAATGCTCGTTAGTAGTCATTGCCATATCTATATCTGTAGCATTCGGCAAATTATCAGCCAGTGCCTCGCTTGCGTTGCTGCTCTAATCAGCGCTGGGCAAACAAAAAGCTGACATGAATGAAATTTACAGAGCGCCGAATGGCTCTTTTTCGTTGCTGCCATTACACTTAATAACAGGTTGAATGGAACAGTTCCAAAAAGATATTACTTTTCTATATTACAAATAATTATTGTATCAAAAAGTAATTTTAACTTTCGGGAACTAAATTATTTATAAGACCTTAATCTACATAAAAAATCCGTGTCTTCTTAACAAATTATCAAAATGCCAAAAATTCTAAAAAAAAAAAAGTTTACAAAATAGTCAGTGACTTTGACTTTTCATAGAAAACGAAAGAACTATTATTATTATGTATATTATACTGAGGGTCCGACTTAGGCTTAAGAACAAATTTCAAAAGTAAATCAAAAATAAAGGATCCATTGTTATGACAACTTTAAGACAAAACTTAACTTATGCTGCCTAGTGTTATGAGCTGGGCCGCATATCTTCTTTGCGTATCGCGTATCTCACCGCGGGCGAGGAAAACTCGGGGAAAAAGGGAGGAAAAGCGGGCAGACGACTTCAACGTGAACACCACGCCCCTGGGCAAAATGCTTGCCCCACTGATTTGCGTGCTACACACACAACAAAAAATAATCAACAAAAAAGACTGGGTGTAGCCACTCGGATATTTGGGATACTTCGGTGCTGTGTCACATTTCTGTTCCGAGCTTTGTGCTATTTTTGCCAATTTGTTTGCTTTGCTGGCTGCGCGACGTTGCGGCTTATCACATAATTTGAATAAAGTAGCTGCAATCTTGTGTCAGTTTATCGCAAATTAGACCGACAACGGACGGGTACAGATAAAAACATCAGCTAACTAGCAGAGGCAGCAGCAGCAACGCGACAGATTGTCTATGGCCAGAAAAGTGTGGAGATTTAGTTAAATATAGTGTGAGATGCCCGATATGGGGAAGATGTAACCTTTAAAATGATCCAGCATACGCATACGCATACGCCCTGGTGTGTGATGCACTTTTTGCCCCCAATTTGTTTACTTTGTGCTGCACAATCAAATTATGGACGTGGGCGTCAGGTGCGCGAAAGATGAATGGGTGAAAATAATTGAATCAGAAGCAAATTGCAGGACATGTCGCCCGCCAACCTGCTGGCAACTGCTCCTTTTTCCCATGTCGCGGGTGTTACCCGTTTTCCCCGCTTCCTTCTGCCCTTTTCCGGACGTTGAGCAAATTGCTTGACACTTTTAATTATGGAAATTGACTAACGCTCTAATGGGTCGCGAGAAAATATATATATGAAATATGATGGAAATGCGGGGCATAAGCTAAGAAGTCTCCGTTCCATCAGCTTTCCGCCAAAACGCCATTTAAATGCGAAGACATTAACAGCTCTGTCATTGGCTGTGGATACAGCTAATATGGCCCATAAACTAAATATATCGAAACGGTTTTGAATGAAATAAATCGGGTTTGGACTCGACATAAAGCAATCATTAATCTACTGGGTAGATGCCCATTCTGCCTGGACTATGCCAAAAACACGCAACTTGAATTTCCCCGAATTGTGAAAAGCGCTTTTAATTGGAAAGTCGTTTTTCCTCCTCGCAGTGAAAAGCTAATGAAAAGGGAAATCAAATCCAATATTCAGCGCCCCGCGAATTATAGCCTCTGCCCGATAATAGTTGTCTGCAGAGAAAAAAATTTAAACAATACTGAATCGAATGCGTTTTTATTCCCAAATTCATTTATTTTGAAACACATTTTATAGCCCCGACGGATTTTTAAAAATCGGATATAAAAAAGATTATTTGCTTAAAATTCAATTACATTATTAAAGAAGTCTTGTTGACACTTAAAACAGAAGCTGTAACATTTTTTTCTGAATTTAAATTATTGCTTTTTCTCTGTGCACGACATTTTGCGTCTGCAAAGGAATCTCTCTGGGCTCTGCGAGTTTAGCGGAAATATGTATGAAAACATTTGCCTGTCAACGGGGTCATAATCGAACATGGGTATATGCACGTATGTACATATATACGGACGGGGAATACAAGCACATTTGGTAATTGCACCTCGGGATGCTTAACATGATGCACTGCCACCGGGAAATATTAAGTGTGCCGCAGGCGAAGTGATGGTGGCCATTATTTATTTACATTTTCCGCTCCCGGTTCTTTATGTCATCATTCGCCTGGCTTTCCATCGGCATTTTCGGCCAGTGTTTATTCTTCCCCGCTACTTGCTGCTCTTTTTACTGATGGGATGAATTTTCCGACCATCCCGAAAGGTGTCTGAAAATTTGCATATTCCGGGCCAGAAACTTGGTCGCAATCTGCACGCTGCGTTGGTTAATTTGAGGGCACCACGCGTACACACACCTTGGCTCACCTTTTCCCGCTGCTTGTTGGGCTTTTCCTGCTTTTCCTTGGCGTGGCTCAAATTAATACTGCAGCCCAGGACCTGGGAAATGCGGATCCTTTTGCTGTTGTGGCACTTTTCACTAGCATATTTTGCTGCGCAGTTGGACGCGTGTAATTGTAAATTATTCACGCTTCCTTACGGCACTTGGCAAATGTTTAACAGTTGCTGTTTACAATCACTTTGATGTCATTTACCAGGTACTTTTTGCGATATCTTTATATCTTTGCGTAAACGCAAAGTATTAACATCTTTTTGTTTTTTTATGGTTTGTTATGTTTTTATATTATTTTTTTTGTTTATTTTTATGTTTACTATAAAAATATATGGTTGATTTGGGGGTTTTCTTATGAACTCAAGAACGTTTCCTTATTTTGGGGAGCTTTTTTGCTCGATGCGATCGCCGGCACGTCCACTAACGAAGTGAGGGCTGCGGCCGATGGCGCATTCTTTTATAGTGGCCGTCGCGCTCTTTTGCTCTCTCTCTCTCTATTGCCTTCTCTTAGCTTTCTCCCGTTATCAGTGTCGCCACGCTTTTTCTGGCTCTTCAACAGCTGAGCAGCTCTCTTGTTTGATTTTAAAGGGGCCAAGTGATGCATTTTCTAATCAGCAGCTTCTGAGTCTTGTGACGTCACTGAAAGCCACTTTCCCAAATGCACTTGTTTTATACTTGTATACACAGTTCGAAATGGCTTGTTATTTTTCTGACTTGTGGCCATAAATTAGCAAATAACCTTTGTGCTTGGCCAGATTTCAGCTGACTATTCGCTGCTCTTCGTGTTTACTTACACTTTTCTCTCCTTCAATGCTTTTTGCTCTCCCTCTGTTGTTCTTTTGTTTTGTTATTGTTATTGTTGTGCCTTTGCATCTGGGCTCTCTGTTGATTTATCAGAAAATATGTTATCTCAGAATGGCGCATAACTTAAACCCCCGCCGCGTTTTCCGTGACCTGTTATCCCCGTCGGGAATTTAATATAAATAAATGCTTACAAGAAAAGTTTTCTCGGAGAACACGTCTATGTACCTTTTCTGGTCCACTCGATAAGCAGCTCCTAGAGTTTGACAAAGTTTCCCCATTTTCAAATTACAAAACTTTGTTTTTGGCTTGTTTAATTATTTTGGAGTTTTGCTGACTTCTGGGAGTAATTGTTTTGATAGGTCTTCGCAATAGCTTAATATATAATTATGAAACAATTTTAAATAATCAAAAATATTTCAATAATTATTTATAATCTTAATTTAATTGTTTGTTTTATTTTATTGAATAACACCAACTAATTTTATTGAGATTTAAAATTTAAAAAGTTAATTTACATTTAAATTAATAAGAGTATGTATGGATGAATATTATATTTTGTATTAAGCTGCTGAGCACTAAGCAATATGATGCAATCCCTTTTCTTTTCAATAAAATATATTTCTGTTATTTATAGATTGTATAATCAAAAGCTATTATTAAATATATTTTTGCATACGAATTTTAAATAAGTATATTAAATTTAAAAAAAAAACAATTTTTTTACTAAATATATAGAAATTTTTTGCGATTGCCGATTTCTTCATAAGAATAAACATTGTGAAGCTTAATATAAACCATATGAAGCATAGATTAAGCCGGAATCTGCTACGAAAATTGCTTATGTACTGCCGAAAATGTACTTCGCATTCTTTCCCTTTGCTCCGGATCTACGCATAAAAATTCGCGTCAATTTTCCCTCGCTTTACAGCAGATTGCCACTTCTGGCCACCATCTCGCATCTGGTTTTCCTACAGGAAGTTCAGAGTCCTGATTCACACACACACCCACACACTCGCAATCAGCGAAATGGGCATGCAAAAGCGTTGCCATTTTATCGTTGCCTACTTTCAGGCAGCCACCATCAAGCTGTGCCAGAAATTGGAACTCGTCGTCCACCCACTTACCCCGCGACCGCCCCCCTTGTTCCACCCCTTAGCCTCTCCTTTTATTTTTAGCAGTAGCATAATTTTTTATTGATTGGATTTCAGTAAAAATCACTTCCGGCGATAAATTTGTTATGCAGGCAGCGATTCCGTTCGGTTATGTCCTGGCTTTCTGTTCTTCTTTGACTTCGCAAAAACAGGGAAAACTTTTCATGCTGGTGGTGGAATATTTTCCAGCCCGCCTGACATTTTACAGGAATACTGTGTGTTTTGATTTATTTTACTTCTGCGTCAATGTCAATCGTATCTGCAGACTTCAAGGGAAATATCCTTGCCTTGTTTAACTCGGAATTTGTTTGTTTGGCTTTCGTTATGCTCCTGCACTAATGGCCAATGGGGCTTGGCAAATGGAAATGGAAATGGCAAATGGCTACGAGTATTGACAAAGAAAATTTGCACACTGTTTGCCTTACATTACATGTGGAGGGTGGGACGGGGGAAAAGCCTTCGGGCCAAATCAAATACAAACACATTCTCCACAAATTACTGCAAAATTTTATCAAAAAGCCAGCAATGCTGGCTGGTAATTTAATATTTCAATCCCGAGCTCTATGGGGTCATTGATCCCGATGATGTCCTGGCAACCAGTAAAAGGTCTTTGAGGATAAACATTAACCATCGGGCGGCGTGAAATCATAGCAAATGAACAACTAAAGACACGTCCATAACAACAGCTGCTGACCCACACACAAACACCATCAGAGGACGATGGGTTGTCCTTAAGAGAGCCGTGACGTCACATGTGTGTTGCAAAGAGATGAAGAGAGACTTTTTCAAGATATTGTAATGCACATGCGCGAAACGAGGACTCTTTGGACTTCCGGCTAGCGCAGCGACCATATGACATCATTGAAAACAAACCCCGAGCTTTGGTAATGAAATTATGCGTTTTTTTGCCATTTTTGTCACCGCCTTGGGCCGTGTATGTGTGCTCTATCGGTGTGAATAGTTTTGGCTTCTGCTGTGGCGCCTATGGGAGCGCTGACGTCACTGTTGCCTGTGCACTCGAATGTAAAATTGGCAAATAAATAGGATTTGATATTTAACGTCCCGCAGCAAGGAAGCCATGCGCCGAGGATGGTGACATAAGCCCAAGCAGTCAAACAAAATTCCTTGGCCAGCTGCAGTGCTGCCACTTATTTCGGGGATATAAATTTTAAATATGGAAGCAGAGGAGAATAATTAACCAAAGTTACTTAATGGATTTGATTACCATTTTTAATATTTAACAAAATAATACAATTATGGAACATTTTATATTTTTCAGTTGAGTTTTTTTATTATTTTTGTTAACATTTGGGAAAAAAAACGGTTTAAAAATATATATTTGCAAATTTAAATAGTAAAACCTTTAAGCAAACAATTTTTTTTACACTTTTCTAGACTATTTATTCTTTATGAAACTTCCAGTCAATTTAATATGTATATTTTTTTAATTTGTTACCTTACCTTAAGTTAATTTTTAATTTTTGTTTGGATCGAAAATACAAAACAAATTTGGCAGATACGAAATTGAAATTTATTGATAATGGCACCTTTTCTTAGAGAAAAATAATTTAACAAAAATAACATTTTATGTCAAATGGATTTAAATTGAAAAAAAAAACAGATTAAAATTAAATAACGAACGTAAAAATATGAAATTGAACAATACTAAAAAACAGTCTCATTTAAAAAATAGTCATTATTAAGATAGAGAGTTCGATTAATATACAAGTATTTAGTACATTCATTATTGCTAAAATACATTTTGTATGATTGAGTTAATGACGAATTGATTCAATTCATGCCTTAAAAAAAGGAAAGCATTTCAGAATTAATAAGTAATGGACATTACATTTGTAAGCTTTTAAACACAAATGTATTTACCAATTTAGTTAAAAACTTGTCCAGCATTATGAAAAATAGCCATAAAATAGCTAAGCAACCAGCACTCTTCAGGTGACCACTGACCGTTTGGTGGGAAAAGGTCACCAAGAGAAGACAATGACATTTCGCCGACCTAATTGAATCATGAGCACGTGCAACATTTCCCGGCTTATGCGACTTTTCAATCATTTCCCAGCCCCTAGATGAACAGAAAGGAAACTTCGCCTAACCGCACTCGAGTGCCTGGCCATTTGGTTTGTTATTGTTTTATGCGCTATTACTTCCACTTTGATGGAGTGCCCGCTCCGAAGGATGCTGCACTCACTGCGCTGCCACTTCCCCCCACCTTCCCCTCGTGTCCTTAATTCAGTGACGTCAATGGCTAAATGACTGAGTGACCAAATAGCGCGCTGGTGGCTGTTGCCTCTTTTACGGACACGCCTGTGAGTGCGGTTAAGCGGCGAGACGTTGCCCCATTAATTCGAAGCATACTTTCGGGCGCTCTTTAAAATTGCCAGCTGGCTGTTGGATGGTTTATGGGTACGCAACTTGGCTGTAAACGGATGTCAACAGCGAAGACATTAAGCATTTGAGCAGCCAGCTTATTCCAAGAAGTTTTAAATAATTTAAGCACAAAATCTTGATGCAAGGGAAATGATTGAAACGCTCACAGAATAGTCCATGTGTTAGCATTTTAAATTTATAAAAATAACTCCACATTTCTATAGCACTTAAAAAAAACGTTTTTTATATGGAAAACAATAAACTTAATAAGTTATTTATGGTTCAATATCACAATATACACAAAAATGTAAATATGCTGTGATGGTGCGATCGTTAGGATCGACTTAAGGTACCTAGAGTAATTCAATAACACTTCAGGTAAATCATTATGTTAAAAAAATACAAATAAAAATCATAAACTTAATAAAATTTTAAGAAATATAATGTTTAAATAAGGGCAGTTAATGTATTAAATTCGCACCGTCAAGCCATGTACGAATATATACAAAATTATACTTTTCACATCTAAACTGGAAAATTGCTAGCTGAAAAAAATAAATTGACACTTCTGTTTTAACTTGTACAGATCTGACACATTTTATTTTCAAATGTACATATTTTGAAAAAAAAGAAATTATCTAAAAACTGTATATTTATTCAATTATCCTATAATTTAATTATGCAAGGCAAAATAATTTTTTGATTTGGGGGTGTCATTAAAATTTGCGAAATTGTGATATACAATTTTTATCGATGGAATTAGGTAAGACTAGAATTCAAAAACTTCTTTAAACAAATATGTTGTATAATTGCTAAGAACATCAAACTGAGAGGACCTAATTATACCCGTTACTCGTAGAGTAAAAGGGTATATTGTATTCGTGCAAAAGTATGTAACAGCTAGAAGGAAGCGTTTCCGACCCTATAAAGTATATATATTCTTGATCAGGGTCACTAGCCGAGTCGATATAGCCATGTCCGTCTGTCCGTCTGTCTGTCTGTCCGTATGAACGCTGAGATCTCGGAAACTATAAAAGCTAGAAGATTGGCATTTTGCATGCAGATTCTAGGAGTTCCTACGCAGCGCAAGTTTGTTTCAAAAAGGTGCCACGCCCCCTTTAACGCCCACAATCGCTTATATACGATTTTAAAAATTTAAATATTTCGGAAAAGTAAAAATGCAGTTTTATTGTGTTTATCAATACCTATCGAAATTTTTCAAATCGGACCATTCGTTAAAAAGTTATGCGTGATCAAAGTTTCTATCTCCATCTCCCTCGCACTCCCTTTACCTGAGTAACGGGTATCTGATAGTCGGGGCACCCGACTATAGCGTTCTCTCTTGTTTTTTAAATCTAGTGACCCTTTTCAAAAGTTTGAAAAGTTCGCAGTAGCTTTTTTTCGGTTGGCCCATAAGTATGCAAGCTTTGAATCTGCTTGAATACCGTTTGTCGTGATCGCAGCTATAGCCCCATTAGTCGTACAACAAAAACAAGAAGCAACCGACTGACCGACTCAGCCAAACTCTTCGCCTTGTCTTCGCAGCGCTCAGTTTCTTTCAGCCAGTCGTTCGCGTCGGTTGTTGCTTGTTGGTTGTCGGTTGTTGGTTGTCCGCTGTCGCTGCATGTTGCATGTTGTCGGTGGGTTGTCGCAGGTTGCCACCGCGTTTTTTGGCCCTGCACGCAGACTCTGTGCGACTGCAAGGTGCTCTCGAATTAACAAGTATGCGAGCAGCCGAAAAAACACTCTAGCTTTGCTATTCTGACACAGTTTCGCGGCAAATCAGCAAAGACTGCAAGACAGCGAAAAAGATCGAAAAACAGCGGACGAGTGTGTGTAAAGTAAATGTGCATTCGACAACAAAAGCGGAGAAAAGTGAGGAAAAAACCAAAGAAGGTGCCGAGGCAGAAATTGGAAATAAACAAAAAGAAATTGCATAAGTCGGATTTTTGGCGTGCGCTTTGCTCATCTTCTGTCCCACTGCTGCAATATTTGAGTGGCTTCTGCTGTTTATCCTACGAAAAACGCGAGATAAAACGCGGGGACGGGGCGTCGAATTATTTAAACTTACTGGAGATATTTTACAAAATTTAATCAACTCCGCTGGGCTGCTTGACCATTTGACTTTTTTCGAACAAGTTTGCTTTCAAGTTTTGCGTCTCTGTCTGCGCTTTCGGCAATTAAAACACATTAATGCAATTGTTGCTAACCAATTTCTATATTCATGTGTGTGCGCGCCTTTTATCCGCTAAACATTTATGCAACTTGGCCGAAATCAACAGCAACATTTGGCCAAGGGACGAACTTTATCCGCAATTGAAGTCTGTGTGAGGTGAGGCAATTAACATAAACCAATTACAGCTAATTACAATTAAACAAATTAGTCGCCACAGATCGTGCGCGCATCGTCGCTGGTTGTGTCATTAAACTGATATGGAATTTGCATAAATTAGATAAGGATTAACAGCAAATAGAACAGAAACCCAGACGTGGGCTAAAACACGATATAGCTTTTTTGTCTTTTTTGTCCTGGCCTTAAATGAAACTCGTAAAAAGAGCCCAGAAAAAATGACAAGCCAACTGAGGGTAATTGAAGTAGTTAATACTCTGATTTCAGGAAAATATTCATTTAAATAATAAAATTGGCTTGCATTATAATTTCAAGTTTATAATTATGTTTCCAAGTATGTACTTCTTTTAAACATTTCAAAATAAATATTATCGAATTTATTTAATGTTTCTTATTTTTTATTTAATGTTTCTTATTTTTTGCCAGCAATTTAAATATTTAACCAACTAAATAATTATAGAATTTACATAGCTGACCTTATGTAAAAGAAAACTAAGGAAAACCAATTTTGTATTAAAAATATTGTTTAAATATTTAGTAATGTTATACATTTTGATTAGTATTTGTTGTGCTATAAATAATCATTTTAAATAGGCTAGTCCTCTTCTTTATAATATAACCTACCAAACGTTTCAAAAAGTCCATATAGCACTATCAGCTAAAGAACAGTTTTCTTATCAGCCCACTAAATCACTTTCCACTCCTAATTGCAAAATATTCGGCTCAACAAACACTTTATTGCAGCAATTTCAATGCAAATAAATTGAAATTGTGGTGCATTTATTTACAAATTACATTTACATACTTCCATGTTAATCAAATTTTCTAATTCGGGCAAGTGCACTTCACCATCCACTCCAATCATGGAAATCGTCCGCTTCATGATTTAATTTTAGTTGTTTTATGGCTCGGATTGGTTTTGGCTTTTTGGCTAATCATAAATAGAAATTCCCGTCACAACGAATATCCGTCTTTTGGTCTACAGAGTGTCCAAAAATTGGCAGGTGGAAACAATTCATTAGCCCCATCGGCTTAAAAAACACGCAGCCATTACCATATTGGCAGTAAATTGATTCATCGGATGGTCTCCTAGTTTTGACCAGTGTTCTTTTCCCAGCGACTCCCACTAATATTTGTGCATTAATTGCTTAACTAAGCATCGTCGAAATCTCATAGCGAGTTTGTTTCACCAAATTTAGAGACTGCCAAACCAGTTGAATGGATGACAAAACACAGATAAAACACATATAAAATCATGCATAAAAAAATCCCAAACAAATGCCTCAAACGAAGCTGAAATTAGATAATATTTAATGTGATGGGCGCCTCTCCTCTTTTTTGAATATTCGTATTTGTATATGGGCAAGTCTGCAAAGATGCAGTGAAAAAACATTTCAATTATCACCCCGGTGTTTGCAATGAAAACTGTTAAGTGGTGTTTAAAATGTTCCATTCGAAAACGATAATTAATCATATTACATATACATGTGCCTATTGCGCCACAGTATGCGCATTTCTCACAATTATGATGTCTATAAATAGAAGAGAAAAACCAAATGACTTACAATTGTGGGTGTTGCTTTGGGTTCAGCTTTGGCGAAATTAATGAGGCAACAAACTTAAAATATTAATGAATGAATGCGGTCATTGACAAACACACCACACACACACTACGTTTTCAATAAATATAATATTGAAAACCAAGAGTAGACATTAATAAAGTGGGCAAATAAATATTCCAATTTCATTATGCGGTTTGGGCTGTTTATTGCAAGTCGAAACCCCAGCTCAGCCACAGATACTAATTGCGGCTTGCCAAAATGTTCATGAATAGTCAGAGGCTAAGGCCTCGGGGCAGCAAGGGGTTAAAGTTCATATACACCTACTTGGAAAGATTAATGCAAATTTTGCTACGTGCGTTTGTACGTTTTTTAATCAAATCAAAATAGAATTAGCTGTACTGTTTTACTTGTTTTTGGTATGCTATTAACTATCATTGAAATGACATTCAGTCATTTTTGAATCCGATAATATATCCGTGACAAGGATTGGTTTTACTCCAAAAAGATATCAAAGATTATTTGATAAGGCTAATTAATTGTTTAATTTAAAATATGTGTATGATCACTTAAAGCAAACAGTTTTATTTTATAAAGCATCAAATTTCGGAACTTTGATAAAAAAAACACCTTGAACATAAAATTACCCTTTACTCGTAGAAGCGTTTCTGACTCTATAAAGTATATATTTTCTGGTTCATAATCACTAGCCGACTCTAGCCATTTCCGACCATCGTATAAACTATCGTATGAAAACTATATCAGATAGGGACTCGGGAATTCACGTTTGGATTAACCTTAACACTCACAAATTGTTAAACTCTTGTATTTTATACAATTATTCTATCAACATTTAGCAACACGCAAACCATTTTCCAAATGGAACAAATATTTCAGATGTTTTTTAAAAATTAACTTAAAACAAGAGAGAACGCTATAGTCGGGTGCCCCGACTATCAGATACCCGTTACTCAGGTAAAGGGAGTGCGAGGGAGATGGAGATAGAAACTTTGATCCCGCATAACTTTTTAACGAATGGTCCGATTTGAAAAATTTCTTCTACATTTCGATAGGTATTGATAAACACAATAAAACTGCATTTTTACTTTTCCGAAATATTTAAATTTTTAAAATCGTATATAAGCGATTGTGGGCGTTAAATATACCCTTTTACCTTACGAGTAACGGGTATAAATAGTAAATAACGTCAGGCTCCAGCATATATAATTTAAATTAATCGGCAAAGCAGTTTTATAGTGCCAGTGAACTTTTAAATCGTGTGTTCAAAAAAATAACATTACACGTTAGTGCTAACCCTGCAAGGAGAAAAAAAGTTAAACTTTTACAAAAAATGTAAGTTTTTTATTAAAAAATAACGGTTTTCCAAAAGCGGAAACCCTTACACCCCTTCAAATAATCTTTATTTTGCCACACTAGAAGTTTCACCCGATGTGAGTGCAAAACTAAAAAAACACTCTTTAGTAATAAAAACAACAAATAGATCAATTCATCACGTCAACTCGATTATTTAACAGTTTGTGGAACTGTGGAATTCGCGTAGCTCCAATAAGTGAAAGGTTCGTCGAACCGGAATTAGCTCCGGGCCAGATTCGGACATTATTCAAGCGAACTTGGCGCGGTTAGCGATAAACCAGTCAAGACTGATAAGCTCGTGCATAGAACATGGCCAAAAACACGTTTAGCACGGCCAGCCAAAAATAAAATATTAAGCAGAAATTTAAAAATAAACAAAGGCAAATAATAACCAGCGCAAGTCCGAGCCTTAACTCCAAACGAATGGTACGGATCGGCTGAATATATCAATATTATCTGATGATAACCCAACGACGAACCCAACTGGTTGACAAATGATCGCGTTTATAGCTTGTTTGATCCGTTCATTTGAATGTCCCCCGCAGGAGATTGAAAGATAGAAGATCCGATCCGAGCAAAGCAGATCGAAGTTAAATATAATTTATTGATATCGGTATCAGCTTCGCCTTTCTTTTTTCGTTTTGTTGGGCTGTTTTGTTCCGACCGTGTCAACTAATTAAGCAAAAGTAACGCTAAAACTCAATTGGAAACAAGTTCCAGCAAACACTCGCAGTGCTATCCACATCCATTAGCATTCGGATAGTCGGGTTTGGATCGGTTCGGAGTCTGGAGCCATTAAAATCGTATTAATAATGGGCATCGAAGAAAAAACAAAACGCATTGAGCTGGCGAATTAAATGGTAATTTTTCAAGTTCAGCGCATCCGGTGACATCGATACATCAGCTTTCAATTGATTTAAATTGTCTTAATTGTTTCGATTTGGCTCACAGCCACACAATGGCCACCACGGCAGACTTGAACCCGAAACCCACTATTACGATTATGAGGCTAATTTCCATCATAATGGATCTCGGCCTGGCCAAGTGCCATAAACCCGTTTCCACACACATTAGCATAGACACACATGTTCGGGCAGCCAAGCGCCATGCAAAAGTCGGGGCATTCGGTGCAAGTGCATCCAAAACAAATGCCCATTAATTGGCAGCCAGCCCCGAAATTGATTGGGTTTCTGGTTTCGGGTCTCGGGGTTTCCCTCTGACTTTACGGCCTAATTGGCCATTTCTCGGTGGCCCAAATACACGGACATCCGGCCCCTTTGATTGCCTTGCACAACCTTTCAAGTTCAGAGCGCGGCCAATAAATTGCACTAGTTGCCGCCGCACTTGTTGCTGCTGCCGCTGCGATGCTGATGTTGCTGATGTTGCTGATGTTGCTGATGTTGCTGATGTTGCTGCTGTTGCTGCTGTTGCTATGATTCAATTATGACAGCTCTTTATTGTGTTAACGAAAACAAAATGTCAAATGCTGACTTGGCCACTGCCATTGACCTTGACTGTGCTGCTCTGCTTTGTTGAACTCAAATATGATTATGGATACAAGTGTATTTAAACGAATTTGGCATCATAAAATTGATTTCTTCTGTTGGTTTTGCAAGCAGTGAGCTAGTCCAAAGTGATATCAATGGAAAATTTACATCGACCATACCACTTTATTAAAAACAAAAACGAAATATTTTATAATTTTAGAATAATAAACTGGTATTAAACAATTACAAATTAAATTGAGATACAATATAATTTGAGTTTCTTTAATACGATTAATGTTTTTCCTAAAACCCCTTACGACAAAATTTAAAAAAACAAGTCAAATTTTAGAACACTCAGAGATTGTTGTGACACCGTTGATCATATTTATAATTGGCTCAACATACCTTAAAAAACACATTTCATTTTTTTTCTTTGCCATGACTTTTTAAACTAAACTTAAATATTACACTACTTTGTTCATCATATTTTTATAGAATCGCAAATTTTGGTTGAAATCTAATACCCACTGCAAGGGTATTAAAAGTTAAACCTTCTTTGTTT